ATAAATCGGCCAAGATTTTGAGAAATATTTTACTAATCTTGGCAGGAATAGTCTAAAAAAAAGGTCCTATATAAAAGTGATCCTCAATCCAATTGAATTACGGTCATAATAAAAACATGACTGCAGATGACTGAGGCAACTTTCATTTGATTCTGATTGGCCTTTATTCAAAATTATATACATATATGGTGTTATTTTCTTTCAGAACGATATGTCATTCTTCCGAAAAATCAACCCAGAGGATACCAAGTTTCAATGAAATATGCTTCAAGGCATAAAATAATGACCTGTGTAAGGATTTTATTTCCCTGATTAAAATGCAAACTATAATTTACTTAAACATTTGATTCGTTTGATTGTTATCGTGTGTTGTTGCCAACTAGGCGTTTACTTTTTAATATTCCATCTTTGATAGGTTCAACGCAGAAACAATCCTTTCCTCCGTTTATTAGACTGAAATACCAAAAATCGTCGACGCACATTTTAACTTTCGAAACAAATAATGTGAAGTTTTATTAATTTATCGCTACAATAAAGAGACATTATGTGAGATGAATTTAATAATGCAAATTTTTTCATAACACTTGTAAAGCAATCCAGATTTAACATATTCGCGTGTTGGATTTGGAAAATCTAATTGATTCACACTGTATTGGAAATCACACTTTGACCTACATGTATGGATATTCGTTTTTCGAGTTACATCTACATGTATCACGATTTCGTGCTCTCTTTGTGCCAGTTCTTAACTGTTTACATCTACATATACCTTTTACTCCATCAAATGATCTAATGACCAGATATTCTTATTTTCTATAGAAAAACAGCCACGTACTTTATAATGGGGTAGGGGAGTATAAAATTTAATCCTGGATCTCTGTCTAAAACAAAATTGTATTGGAACCCACCATTTTTTTTTAAAATGTCCTGTACCAAGTCAGGAATATGGCAGTTGTTATCAAATAGTTCGCTTCTATGTAAGTTGGCGTTTGTTTTTGTTGCACTTCAGTGTTCCTGTTGTTCCTTTGTTTTCCTCTTATAGTTGATGTGCTTCCCTCGATTTTAGTTTGTAATCCGAATTTGTTTTATCTCAATCGATTTATGACTTTTGAACACCAAAAGACCACCGGTATACTACTGTTGCCTTTATATATTGCCATTCAAAAGAAATTATTCTGAATAGTTCAAAAATTGTTGCAAAAATAAACGGAGAATGAGTCCACCCTGTTGCATATAACATCATAATGGGACATAACTTGAGAACGGTGAAATTGACGCTACCAAAATTCGAACTTGATCTGTGTTTTGTGGTGATAGGCATTGTGTATAAATAACATAACATTAATTTGAGGCAAACTAAAGTTAGAGAACAGAAACTAATTTCGGGACGTACGTACAAACGGACTGACGGACGTACGTACAAGGACAACACTCAATGCCCCACCGGTAACGGTGAGGGCATTATAATCTGCTTTTCGCGATAAAAATGTCATAAATTTTTTTTTAAAATAACATAGCATCTCCTTTCATCAACTTAGTTGGTACGATAAATTACTTACAAAGTGACTTGTATTTTTCATACACTGTTATCGGGCAGTAACTTGCTTCATGCAGTTACAGATATATTTTTATTGTGCCTGGATAAAAGATTTCTTAAGTTTATATCTTAATTAGTTAGTGAGTTTTATTTCACATTATAAATGAGCCGTAGGGCGTATTAAAACCTGAACGCATCAGAAAAGAATATCCCGCTTTAGTATGGTCGGTAAAATAGGAAGCAAATCCTGCAAATTTTTGCAGATATTAATAATTTTTTGACGGTATATATGTCAGATTATGCATATTTTAAGGTTTTCTTGTCGTATAACACACCTCGGGGTGTCAGGATTGCCCAAAGAAATACCTCCCGTAAACCTCTTCTTCTTCAAGGCGAAATGTGTTGAAGATTTAATTTAGGATAATGAAGTTGTGAAGACCATCTACAAATGATCCTCATTTAAATTTAAACGTGGCTTCAAGTAGCAATCTGATTCAAATCAACCAATTTGAAACAAAATATCATCTTTAACTAAAACACGAAATAATTTTAAACTTAAAAGGATTGATGATTGAAACACAAATTAATTCCCATTGAAAACCAATGAAAAATGAAATGTTCTTCTTCCAAAAAAAATGCTCAGCCAATTTTGACCAAACTTTTATGGACTGTATATATGAAAGATCTTCTACAAATGTTTTTTTTTTTTTGGTTATGATCGGATGAAAGACATTGCCAGTAGAGGAATCTTTAATTCCAAATTAAAACAAGAATGTCAGGTTACAGCAGCTTAATTGCCTATTCTCCTTTGCAAACATCATAATAATTCGCTAAAACAAGATAAAACCCTCAACATCCCTAGCCTAGGAATCTGCTTCTTATTGATGTGAAAAGGTTGTTTGGCCAGAATCTTAGGCTAACCTGTCCCAAATCAGAAACATCGATATATTGTCAGTGGTTCTTTTAATGGCTTCTTTTTTTAGCATTTGTTGTTGAAAGTCAATTTTAATAGTTTCCTTTTAATATTTACACATTTATAGACATGGAACTTAATATTTACACATTTATAGACATGGAACGATTAAGAGCTTGAAATTGTAAAGACAACTTACATATTGCATAGATACCTGACATTGTGTAAACACCTGTCTATTGTTCAAAACTATGTTATTTTTTGGTTATTTTTGTCGTTAGGTGCTGTGTCATTAACGCATACCCAACATCTACTTTTGGTTGATATCTTGGAAGGGATTCATGATCATGTGCTGTTATTTAAAGAATGTAATTGGAAATTTACTACACTAAATAGGATTTAATCAATTTTGAGGGCAATATACAATATTCAACAGTAAACAGGTGTAAATAAACAATGTCAAGCTCTACGTCGTCACAAACACAGTTAACCAAACGTCAACATAGGTTTCTTTTGGTTAATCGGGTCGTTATCTCAATGACTTATGTCCCAAATCTCATATCTAAAAGTAAACATAGGTATGTTTGGTTAATTGGGTCGTTATATCAATGTCTTACGCCCAATATCTCATATCTTAAAGTCAATACAGGTATGTTTTGGTTATTTGGGTCGTTGTCTCAATGACTTATATCCCAAATCTCATATGTTGACTTATGTACCAAATCCCAGATCTCAAAGTCAACATAAGTATATTTTGGTTAATTGGGTTGTTATTTCAATGACTTATATCCCAAATCTCATATATCGAATTCAATAAAGGTATGTTTTTGGTGAATTTGGTCGTTATATCAATATCTTATGCCCCAAATCTCATATATCGAATTCAATATAGATATGTTTTGGTTCTTCGGGTTGTTATCTCAATGACTTATTTTCCAAATCTCATATATCGAATTCAATATAGATATGTTTTGGTTAATCGGGTTGTTATCTCAGACTTATTTTCCAAATCTCATATATCAAATTCAATATATATATATATGTTTTGGTTAATCGGGTTGATATCTCAATGACTTATTTTCCAAATCTCATATATCGAATTCAATATAGGTATATTTTGGTTAACTGGGTCGTTATCTCAATGACTTGTGGCCTTCAATTTATCCTGGATTAATCAAATCAACAGCTTAACCTTTCTTAATAAAACGAGATATCGGCATAATGTCAATTACGTAGCTTGATAATTATAAGAAGTTAGGCAAGGGGTCTAGGACTTGCATGTGGAAATGCCCTTGAGTCATATACATTAAGTTATGTGTGCCATTGCAGAATAACTATGTAGTTGCGTTGCTGCCATGTTTGCCAGCCAGTCACCACAAAATAAGGAGGCTTGGTAAAGGAAATCTTAATCTTCGTATAATAATATGCCTTTCAGCTTTGGACGAGTATTTTGAATATTGACCAAAAAGAATCAATATTGCTTCTGGTTCCAACTGAAACATAATGAGTAAGAGATACTAATGTTGTTACAAACGTTATCACTGTAATTTACCATAATTAAAAGATAGAAGAACACAGAGTGGGCTAATATGATTGCACAAAGAACTAAACAATCAAGCCCATATACCAACAGACATTTGAAAATACCTTATAAAAATCACTTAATCCACGCATAAATATCATTTCCTCAGACCTCCAACCAGAACACACTCACGCATTATTCCAAATACTATAAAGAACTGGAGCTCAATACCACCATACATTTTAAACAAGATAGAATTCTCAACAGACAAAGTCAGATTATTTGCACATATTGTTAGCGCGAAGGGAGGGGACATTCGGATTAATCGCTACATGACGTATGCGCGGTGGAATAATGTCCGTCGGACCAGCCACCGTACCATAACAGATCAAGATCAAGATGTTAGCTGTAATTCTCCTACTTTATCTCTTCAAGTGATTGGACGAAAACATATCAATTAACGGACGACCTGGGACTACTATATGTGTAATAGAGGTCTATAAGACGACAGACTCCAGTGATAACAATAGTCCACAGCGGCTTATTGGCCTTGAACCATGTGAAATAACTGGAATTGTACATACGAATCTTCCAGTCTGTTTAGCAATAAGGCACTGCATCTAATATTGTGTGGAATGACTACAATGTTTCATATCAATTAGGACCATTCGATTAGATGTAAGATATTAAGGAGACAGCAAAGATGTACGACTATTTTCACTAGTTTTTTCCACAATCAACAACGGAGAATGCCGAAGAAGTTTTTACTATACCTCGGTCTTCTCCTAATAGTTGATAGCATAACTAAAGCGAGTACGATAAAATTTGATTGAAATTTACTGAGAAAATTAGGAAGGTCTTTGTTCTTGAAATGCACATTGACGCAACTCAAAACTATTCACAATATGGTGTTGTGCAAAAAGGCCAAGCCTTTTGCAAAAACATGGAACTAGATTATATTATACAATATACATATCATAATATCGGCCAATGAACTTTAACCACCAACAAAAAAAAACATTAATGAAACACGTATCTATATTTTTATATGTATTCATTTTTAAACAAATAAAGACGTTTTCTTTAAAGTCAAGGTAATGCATATAATTTTTTAATATTACGAAAAATGGGATTCTGATGATGGACAGCATGAAAATACAGGATACATGAGGACATGATCCCCGAACATTTACTTTTAAAAAATGTCAGTAAAAACAGTAAACATCAAACATTCAAATGATATGAAATATTACATGATTCCGCTGGTCTGTTAATTTCTGACACGATTAAATATCATTTAAAAAAAAAATTGAGAGAACATAGGAATCTTTAATGAAATGTCTGTTAAACTTATATTTCCGTGTGTTACTACCGGTTTTTCCGTCTGTGACTAATAGAACATCAAATCATATAAATCTTCTTCATCTTCCAGGGAGTCTAGTAGATCAAGATCTCGTCCTTTCCTGCATTTCTTCTTGCATTTACTATTATCTTTCCAACATTTATCAACGCACTTCTGTTGCTTTTTAATGCTGTTATTTTTAATTTTACACTCTCTTTGACATACTGATGTTTTATTATCGCAGCGCCCTCTGCAGGTCTGTTGAGCGTTAGATGTTATTAGCACCACCGCTAGGATCAGAACAATCAACATAACTTTGGTCTGCAAAAGACAACAATACAAAATACCTTTAATCAAGAACGACAAATAAATATAACCATTATTATACCCGAGGGTCTGGATGGGGTTTACATAATAGAGAATAATAAGCAAAACGTACAGAATATAGGGCAAAAAATATAAAGGATAGAAAAAAATTAGAATAGTCTTAAAAATAAATGAAGGAGTCTCATCCATACCCTCATATCTAGATGAAACATTATAAGAAATCAAATCAAATCAAATCAAATTTCTTTATTCCTAATTAAAGGTCCATTTAGAGCATATCACAAAGTTCATACGATATTTAAATAACAACATTTTGAAAATTAATTATTTCACAATAATTTTCACGCGAAACAACATATACTTGAGCTATCCATAGTCGGACTGAGCAACATTTGGAACGAGTGATGTTTTTTTTTTTTTAATTTGAGTAGCAGATGAAAAAAATCTCAAATGAATTAATTGTGAGAAAGTGTGTTGACCTATGGATGATATTTGGTTGTTTTTGCCTTTGGTTTTCCAAAAACAATCAGGATTGTTACAGATACTTTTTTTTCATTTAAACGTCAACGAGACAAAATTGAAACAAGACCACAATAAATAGAAAAAAATAGTTTTTTTTTTTTTTTTTTTTTTTCGTTTATTCCTTTTTTTTTTTTTTGTCTCATTGGCAATCACACCACATCTCCCTCATTATGCTATTTTGAAAGCACCATATATACAAGTTAGAAGTACAAGGTTTTGTGTACCCTTAATTCTATACTATGGTACAAATATATATGCCAATGAGATAACCTCAACCGATGTCAGCATACGGTGGTCAACAATAGTCAACTGTCTATTCGATGAGTCAAGGACTATGAATATCTGACAATATCTACTTTATTAGTAGGAATAGGATCTCAGGTTATGGCAAAACAGTCCAGTGTTTTCAATTATATGAAACAAAGGTGGATGCTTCAAGCTGGTTCCTTTTTCAGAAGAGTTGCCCAGAGAAGATATTATAATCTGTATAGACAAAATAATATAGTGAGGGTCTGGAGGGGTCTTTATTTCTGTATTCTTAAAAAATCGTATTTTTTCTTTATTCTTTAATTTTTTGTCCATTTTTCTAATTCTTTATATTTTTTGCCCATTATTCTCTATTCTAAAAACCCCACCCATGTCCTCAAATAATGGACCTTTCGTACTTGTATGATTGGAGACAAAAAAAAAGGTTTCCAGTTTTGACACAATATGAATTGAATATAACTCAAAAGTTTTTAAAAATGTTCCTAACCACGTGACGTTAAGTAAATAACAATCAATCGATAAATTTGGTTTATCGCCTGGTAAGTCCTATAATTACATACTAGTCAGCAATCTGTTATGGACTATTATTATAAGAGGACTTTATCATAATCGGAAGATGGAAGCGACGCCGTCGTTCGTTTATGGACTCGATCAAATATATTTTGTTCAAACATTAAAATTCAAAGATAATTTCTATAGATTTGGACATAAAAATTTCGCTATTTTGTCTCATATCCAATATCTATTAACTTATGTTGTGATTTTCGGGACTGGACTATTGATTCTAACATTTTACTAGGCAGGCTTATCTATTTCGATTTTGTGTACAATTATATCCAGCACTTTGTGGGAAAGAATATTCATTTTCAACCTGCCTTGAGCATTATTATTTATTATCCGTCCTTATCCGACCAGAATAATATTCATTTCTAAAACCTCACAAGTTCTCCTACATATACCTCCCAAAAAAAAAACAAATAGTCGTCACTTGATTTCCGTGTCAAATTGCATTTTATAAGCACCACAAAGTCAATTGTCTGACTTGGAGGAAATTTGAATTTGAAATTTTACACCATTTTTAAGTTATCTATTATATATTTAGCTACTGACGCATGTAGATGAGGTTTGATGTTATGCAAATCTTTAACAATAGATATTTATAAGTAAATATTGTTGAGGGTCCTACGGTGACATATAGTTGCTTAAATCAGCTTCATTTTGACTCTGTTGGAAGGTTGTCTCAGTTGTAGTCAAACCACATCTCCTTATTTTATATAAAACAATTTCATTCTTCCCTAGTATTATTATCGCTGGGTAAAATATGTTCCTTAGATCATAAATTTGACAATGCTTTTTTCTGAACCATTCTGCATTTATGTCAAATCTAATTCCGTCAAAATTGATTAAAAAAGTCGTTACTACTAAAATGGTACCGTATAGTGACCATTGTTTTATTTTTTTATTGTTTTCTCGGGTTGCTTTCTCATTTACAAGTACCCAACGCTTCTATCAATAAATATTCTTATGAAAAAAATGATTAAATATTAAGAGGCCTACCTGCATATTTCTTCTTTGTCAAATGTTGAATTAATTATGACACACTTGTCAGTGAAACTTACTTATATTCTGGAAAAATTGCTTTAAGCTCCCTTAAAATCAATTACCACAACGTACTCTTAAATGCATCGTTTTATCAGCTCTTCAAGGTTTGTATTAGGATTTTTATTTCCAAATATTTTGGCCTATAGCATCACTGAAGTGACATTAATTGTCACTTTGAAATGCACATCTGCTGTAGTAAAATTGGTACCGTTTAATAATTGTGTATGAACCTATTTATCTATATCATTAAACTCAAGGGCAACACTCGATTGCCATATGTGCTGCGAAACATATGTATCTACATGTAATCTAATCTTAACATCAACGCATCTTTGATGACGTTATGATACAAACCCAAAGGCTATTAACAGTGTACATGAATACTTATATACGGTAGAACAGATTTTTTTTTTAAAGTCCTGCCCGTTATTTTTACGAGAACAAACTATCAATACATTTCAAAAGTAATCCATTCAAAAGTCATGAATTTTATTATCCGTATTTGCAGCGGACAAATAAAGCTAAAGTTTTACGATTGTTTTTTAAATTTGCTCAAAAATAAAATAATTTGTCATCTATATCAGAAAAATACTGAGTACCAGATGTAAGACCTAACTGAATTTATATTCTTTCTAAACTGATATAATCAATGATGATATTAGAGTTCACCTTCTTTTTTTTTGGAGGGGGGGCGGGGGGGGGGGGGGGGAATTCCCGATCCACTATTTAAGTTTTCTTAAAGATGAAAAGATCAAATACTGAAATTTTTACATGACACTTAGACTGCTTAACATTTCGAGGTTCAAAAGGTGAATAAATACTTCGATATTTTTGCTATGGCTTGCCAAACTGTCACTACCCCAAAAAAGATCCGAAGAGACTGTATGTTGTTATATATCGAATCGTTTAGTTTTCTATTATTTCCTGGTTTTGATTTTGTCGTTTGGTTATTTTATTACAGTATACGCATTATCTCCTTTTATTCCTAGGGAAAAGTTTAACTGTGAAACAACTAAATTGTCTTGTTTTATTACTTGGGAAAAGTTTAAATGTGAAAAATCTAAATTGTCTTCTTTTATTCCTAGTGAAAAGTTTTATGTGAAACAACTAGATTGTCTTCTTTTATTCCTAGTGAAAATTTTTATGTGAAACAACTAAATTGTCTCCTTTATTCCTAATGAAAAGTTTTATGTGAAACAACTAAATTGTCTCCTTTTATTCGTAAGGGAAATTTTAAATGTGAAACAACTAAATTATTTCCTTTTATTCCCAGAGAAAAGTTTAAATGTGAAACAACTAAATTATCTCCTTTTATTCCCAGGGAAAAGTTTAACGTGAAACAACTAAATTGTCTTCTTTTATTCCTAGGAAAAAGATTAAATGTGAAACAACTAAATTGTCTCCTTTTATTCCCAGGGAAAATTTTAATGTGAAACAACTAAAATACCAAATTCTTCTGCTCTATACAATTTTTATTCTAAATGCTGTAAATTGGTGAAAATATTATCGTTACTTTCTAGTCATGTTGCAAGCAATAAGCTTCTTTTAAATAAGACATTTTTTTTTTAAATACATGGAATGGTAAAATGCTATAAAAACAATAAATATAAAATATACTCATAGAAGCACGTAAATTGACAACAAATTGTTATATGGGTCAATTTCAAAAAATGTCGAATTTTAAGTACACCTATGCTAAAGATTTTATTTTTAATAGAAAATGCAGTTGTAAGTGTTTAAATGCAAGTTTGTAGGCTTTATGAGTTGGGACAATAATAATAAACACGACTAAGATCTATATTGATAAGATAAAAATATATTTAAGTCCGATTTTTGCGTAATTTATGTACGTACAGTGTCAGGGTAATACATTTTAATTAGGTTTTTTCCCCTATTTTCTGATTGCCTTTACTTCTACTAAATGAACTATTTCAGAAGGTTAATGATAACTCTAACGAAAAATCTCAGCTTCTTTATCATTTATGTAACATTTTACTACAAACTAAATTCAATCGGCGTACATGAAATGCATGTCTATCCTGTTACCGATACTAGTAATATTGTTTCTCCCTATGAATATGGAACTGTTCAGTGGGGATTTCATAAGCACAAAGTATCTAAAAAATTAACACAGCACGTTTCTTGCATAACAGTGTAGAGAAAAGAAAATTCAAGACATCAAATGAAAAAAAAAAAGAAGTACCCTTTTTTCATGTCTATGCTGTCACCAAGACCATTATTAATTCAACAATATTATACTTGTAAAACATGCAATTTACGTGTTGAAAACCAAAATCACAGCAGAAAAACATTATTACTGCATCAAAGGAAATGTTTGGTTGTTTGGACTCATTTAAAGGTTACAACGTCTTAATCTTTGCAATTTAGCATATACAAAATGCAACACTGCTATCGGTACAGGATAGACAAAACGGGTAAAAGGAACTTAATATGGTGCTATATCGTTAACGTACGTTCCTGTTACCAAAATTCAAAACGACAAAAGTTAACCAAAATGCGAAAGAATTACTTGATGTTGGGTTAATAAGAAAGAGAAAAAAAAATACTTAGTATGAAAATAAGGAGATGTGGTATGTTGCCAATGAAAAAACTGTTCACCAAAGTTCAAATGAAGTGGATGTAAGCAATTATGGCAAAAGTACGGCCTTCAACAATGAGAAAACCCCATGACGTATAGTCGGCTATAAAAGGTCCCGACAAGAAAAATATGAAACAATTCAATTGAGAAAACTAAAGGCCTAATTTATAACAAAACAATTTACGAAAAACAAATATGACAAACATGAACCAAGGACAACCACTGAACTACAGGCTCCTGACTTGGGACAGGCACATAAAGAACGTGGCGGGGTTAAACATGTTTGTGAGCGCTCAACTCTCCCCTAACCTGGGATAGTGGTGTTACAGCACAACATAAGAACAAACTATCAAAATCAGTTGAAAAGGACTTAACTCATCAGATCGATACAAAGCAGAAAAACATCTAACAAAAACACAGATCGGACGCGGCAGGGTATTTATACATCCCCACAACAAGAAAGACACTAAGTACTGATCTGAGAGTACTTGCGGTTACTGACAGCTAGTTCAAAACCAATAACAGCTAATAAAAGAATCATGCATCTAAGACTAAAATATCAATCAGTACACATCCAATATATAATGGATTTAGTGTAAAGACGTCACTAACAGTCCGGGAAGAACATGACCTTGTGCAATGCCAAAATATAGGCATAACATTATGAATTGCTATCTTAGACTTATGTTGCTGGTAGTTATCTTTTTAACCTTAAACCCAATTCTTAGAGGTATTTTTCAGTACAACCTGGAAAACTGACAAATAATCTATCATTACACACAATAAAAAAAAAATATAGAATATATGGCCTTGAAAAACAAGCTTAAAATTTTGTCGAAACCTTTTCTAAACAACCCCAAATTTCTTTTGAAAACAGGAGGGACAATTTAACAAGATTGCTTATTTTTATATGTTGTTCCATAAATATTGTTTGTTTTGGTTTTCCTATGAAGAGGGTCGTTTAAATAGTAACTTTGATTCAGTTTTGCAAAATGACCCATATCTTTAATACTTTTATAGAATATTCAAAAATGAAAATGTATATTTGTTTTCGAAAATTTAAAAATACTTTTAATTCTAGAAGTTAATGATACTACAATGTAAGATTAGAAAATATAAGATGTGTTTGCATATTTAAAAAAAAAAGATATCTTCTGCTTTTTTTACATGGTCCAGCGACTATTATATGTATCGAAATCGAAAGGCTAACAAATACGTTTTTCTATGATGTGTTTATTCATTAACATTTAACTCATTTTGTAAAATTATATATCTTTTTATAACCTCTTAATGTGTTTTTATAGTATATAGTCTGAAGAAGTTTAACAAATAGCCATTAGGTAAGCGCATATTCTGGGATGCTTTTATCTGCCAAGTACATTCTTATAATGTTTTGGGATTCTGTTATCTACCAAGTACATAGTTCTCATGTTTTGGGATGCTATTATCTACCAATATAAATAAGAAGATGTGGTATGAGTGCCAATGAGACAACTCTACATGCAAATCACAATGTATGAAAAGTTACAATTATAGGTCAAAATACGGCCTTCAACACGGAGCATTGGCTCACTTCGAACAGCAAGCTATAAAGGGCCCCAAAATGATAGTGTAAAACAATTCAAACAGGAAAACCAACGGTCTAATCTATATAAAAAAACGAGAAACGTGAAACACCTATGAACCACACCAACAAACGACAACTACTGAACAACAGGCTCCTGACTTACGACAGGTGCATAAAAATGCAGCGGGTTTAAACAGGCGCCAACCTTCACCCTAACCTGAGACAGTAGTGTAACATTACAACATAAAAAGACACACTATAAAATATCAATTGAAATGACTTAACTCGATCAAAAAGACATTACATTCTTCTGTTTTGGGAGTGCATTTTCTCATGTTTTGAATGCTGTTATCTACCAAGTACATTCCACTCTTTTTTTAGATGCTGTTATCTACCTAGCACGTTTTTCTCATGTTTTGGGTGGCTTATATTTGCCAAGAACATTCTTCATATGATAATATTTCTATATCACTACAAATAAACAGTTGACACATTCAGAAAAAGATAATCTGAATAATAGCCACATTGCTAATTAATTCAAGTCGCTGGACCAAGAACTAGGGTAGGGCCTCGAAAAGGTTAACAAATTGAGATGAACAGACAGTAATGTAACTTTATAGAACATATTGTTGTCTAAGTAGCTGCTATCAAACTAATTTAAGCAGAAAACTTAACGTTGAAAATTGCTACCGCATAGCAACCTATAAAAATCCCCTAAATGACAACTGCAAAACAATTCAAACGAGAAAAAACTAAAACGGCCTCATTTATGTATAAAAAAAATAAACGAAAAACATATATTCATTCCATGTAAATCTAGACTATGTCCTGGTGAAAAAGATAGACAACAGTTGTTTACCGGTTTTCAAATCATATTGCTAT